AGCTACTGCAGTTCAGACAGTTAAAGAAAAACACAAAATGTTTTTTTAGTGTTTAGTGATGTTTTAGGAGTAATATTTTGCATTCTCAATATAGTTTTTAGGAAACCGTGCATGGCTGGGTTTTTTGTGTACACATGCCGTCCTTCAAGCTGCTCTTCCAGTGTGGAAAAGTACAGCGAAAGCCAAGAGCCATAAACCAAAAGTCACACACCACCATCTGCTGTTCATGTTTGAGTACAACAAGAATAAAACCTTGAGCTCAATCTTTCCAAAAAAAAAATAAAAAATATGAAAGTGAACAAGTGCATTACTGTCTTCGAGTGACTCCATTATTACCAGATGAGAAAATGACAAAGTGTAGCTGACAAAGCAATTTCTCTCTCCTCTCACATGGACCTCCCTTCTGAATGAGATGACAAGACAATTACGGTGCCAAGATTGATCTTTCAAAAGGCTCTTCACTTCTTCGGTAATTACATACTTGATATGAGGTCTAATGAAGATGTTGTCGAGTCTGCAATGTAGTTAACATGGGAAAAGAAGGAAGGAAGAAAGAAACTATTCCCACAATTTATTTTCTTATCTCACTTCTAAAATGCTGCTGTCTTTTATTGATTTTTTATTAAGGAGGAATCAATACAACGGATTGAAAGAAATATTACTTTAAAAAAGACAATATTAACAATATATATTAATAAAAGAAAAAGAAAAAACTGATAATATTTGTGGATTATACATTAAGGACATAACACGGAAAATAACTTAAAATAATCATTATAATAATAATAATTATTATTATTTTTAATAATTATTATTAAGGACTAAAATAAGTTACATTTTGGTAGGTATAAATATGGCAAATTATTGTGTGAATAGTACTGTATTTCCCATACCGAATATAGAAGTTTACATTCCATATATACATATTGCTTGCTTCTGTGTGTAGGAGCATATAATATCTTTCAGAGACATCTTATAATTAACTTTTGTGTTTAACAGAAGAGATAAGCTTATACAGGTTTGGAACAAGTGGAGAGTGTGTAAATGATGATAGAATTTTCATTTTAGGGTGAACTATCCCTTTAAAAGAACCATTTTTTTCCTAGTGTAATCTACAGAACCCTTTTCCATTGAATCTTTTGTGCAGTGAAAAGGTTTCATAAATGTTAAAGGTTCTTCACGAAACCATTGATGCTGATTAAGAACCTTATTTTTATGCAGTGCAGTACAAAAAGTACATTTGTTGCCAATGTCAATGAATAAGAAGCTTCTGTCTTGCAGCTATTAGCTTCGCATTCATTACACAGCAGTCTTGCGTAATTCAGAGGGGATTTTTTTCCCCCCTCTCTACCGCTTCTGTGATTTCACATATGGAATCGTTCAAGAGATTAACATGCATACACTGGCTTTATGTGTGAAAATGTCAGCTGCGACTACAGACCTGACTGAACAAACAAGTCACATTTCCATATCTCATCAGTCTGTGGTATAGCCTACCTGCTGTGGCATCAGGCATTATTGGAATTTTATGTCTCTGGCTTTTGGAAAGAAAATAAAAAATCTGATGCCGCATATCACCGCCAGAGTCTCACTAGGAGTGAATGCAAATGCGCTTCCAACCTGTTAGAGCTTTGTTGGTGGGAGTAGAGCATGTGCTGGATGGGCTCTAATGAAGTACAGCGTAGGAGAGGCACTTTCATTGACTGCATGAAGAGCACTTTATGTCTTTAGCTCATTAATCTTTAACCAAAAAACATGGGGAAATAATGACAATTTACCACATATATACTCAGACAAATCTGTCATGATGGACGAGAGAAGTATGAGAGCTGGTCCGAGGAGTTATTGCACTGCCAGGTAGATTAATGACCGTGGATGAAAACAAATCAGGTAGTTATGGTATCAGCTGGATAGAGGTTCAGCGTCATGATGTGCTGTTTTCTGTCAGCTGTACCTAAGCTAAGCTCAGGGTCTTTATGTCTTCATAGTTATTAAGGCAAAATCAATAGAGGCTAAAAAAAAATGTAAACAAAAATAAATCTAGCTTGAAAAAAAAAATGTGTGGTGATGGATTGTTTTGAATGCTATTTGTTACTTTGCAGGTTATTTATGAACTAGAAGTATCAGATCATATTTCAAAGCCTCTAAATGATCAACATCATGATCAAAACTTGCTGAAAAACCTGTTGTACACAGATGCCTCCAGTCATCTAACTGATAGTTCTGGTAGTACTTTTTTAGCAAGTAAAGGGCCTTAATTCTAAAAATATAGTTCAGGTAGCAAATAAATAACTTTTATATTGATTTTCTTATTAATTTATATTTCATGTTTATTTAAGTTACTTTTATATTTATATTGTCAGTAATATTTCAAGATTTTTACAAGACATTTACTGGACCGAAGCAACTTAGGTTTACTTGATCTATACTTTGTTTTTTTTTCATGCACAGATGTGTGTATCAAATATGATACAATGTTTATTTGCTCTCTAAATCATCAATGTACTGCATTGCGTTATATGTTTTCATCTTACTTTTAAGGTTTAACAAACCATTCCATAAAAAAAAATAAAAAAGATTTTTTATTTCTGACTATTATTGCATATATCAGGTTTTGCCATTCCTTCATGAGGAATGTATTACCAATAGGCCTACACCCTAGGCTGAGTTGGCTGAGGTCACATTTGGATTGGCAGGTTGCCATTTATTTATATATTTAGGCTAATAGTATCATAATTTTATTGTACAGTAATATAGTACTGATTTATTTCCCAAGTCAAGAAAGAGTGTGAGGGATTCAGATTATAATGCCGTTTCAAGGTATATTACAATTGCTAAAAGGTTCAATAAAGCTAAATCCAGTGCCTAAAAAGTGAAAGTGAAATCAAATGATTAATGTAGGCTTGACATTGCACTGTACTCTACAACAATGTAATTGTCAGTAGAATTAGGCTTCATACATTTCTCATATTTATATTTCATATTTATTTAAGTTACTTTTATATTTATATTGTCAGTAATATTTCAAGATTTTTACAAGACATTTACTGGACCGAAGCAACTTAGGTTTACTTGATCTATACTTTGTTTTTTTTTTCATGCACAGATGTGTGTATCAAATATGATACAATGTTTATTTTCTCTCTAAATCATCAATGTACTGCATTGCGTCATATGTTTTCATCTTACTTTTAAGGTTTAACAAACCATTCCATAAAAAAAATAAAAAAGATTTTTTATTTCTGACTATTATTGCATATATCAGGTTTTGCCATTCCTTCATGAGGAATGTATTACCAATAGGCCTACACCCTAGGCTGAGTTGGCTGAGGTCACATTTGGATTGGCAGGTTGCCATTTATTTATATATTTAGGCTAATAGTATCATAATTTTATTGTACAGTAATATAGTACTGATTTATTTCCCAAGTCAAGAAAGAGTGTGAGGGATTCAGATTATAATGCCGTTTCAAGGTATATTACAATTGCTAAAAGGTTCAATAAAGCTAAATCCAGTGCCTAAAAAGTGAAAGTGAAATCAAATGATTAATGTAGGCTTGACATTGCACTGTACTCTACAACAATGTAATTGTCAGTAGAATTAGGCTTCATACATTTCTCAAGACCTTACAGCTAAAATATCTACTTTATTCCAAAACGTCTTTACATACAAATATATGTCTTCTACTTTCGTCAGCTGTCTTAACCGTGGCTTATGTACTGCAAACACATACCAGCTTCATCACTGTGTCTGTCACGTGACTCTGTTCCCCTTTCGGACTCTGTCTTTGCATTTATTTTGAAAGATGAAGCTCGCGATTATGGTTACATTTCCGACGAGGGCTTGCGGTGTTCGGCCAATCACAATGCACTGGGTCAGCTGGCCAATCAGAGCAGACTGCGCTTGTTGGAAGGAGGGACTTTGTAGAAAACGAAGCGTTTGAGAGAGGCGGGGCATAGAGGACTTACAATAATGTACAGTATTTGAAAAAGAATGTGTTTATTGAACATTAAAGCATGTCAACATATTCTGTTACACCAAATACACAAAATAATTATCTTTAAAAAAGCATCATATGACCCCTTTAATAAATGCTGTAAATAGTGCTTATTGATATTAATTTGATCCAGTGCAGTAAATTAATACAATTCTATTGTAAAGTGTTTTCTGTTTGACTGTATTATGGGATATTATTAATTCCTTAATGTTCATGTTGATACAAATAGTACTTTAAGACACTGAGAATGGTAATTTAATGTCAAATATATTGTATTTAATTATGTCAAATTCAAAATAAACCTTCAATGCAAAGCCTTAAACACGTGGAACATACATATAAAAAAGACATTTAAATGTTGGAGTAAAAATATAAATAAAAGCTAATAATTGAATGAACTTATCACGAGAATGGTTGACTCATCAAAACTATTATGCACGTAATATGTCACTACAAGGGAAAATGCACCACACATTTTTTGGGCAAGTGCAGAACATATAAATCGATGTATATAGTTGACTTGTGCATTTAGCTGACTAAAAATAAAATGTTGTTAATGAAGGTTTCTTGGCAATGAACTAGATAAACCACATAAATGGTTTGCAAAGTACATAAGCACAGAATCTGGATGGACCTGTTTGATCAGTTTGTCTTTGTTTTTGTTTCATTTGAGGTTGCACTCTTTTATGTTTTCTGCTCACTCAACCTCACCCCATGTTCAGGATTTTTTTAAAAGTGCATGCTATTGTGACAGTTCGGTTACATCAGTTTAAGGAAAATATTGGTGGCATAAATATGTTAACATAACAATTTTTTTTTTTTTTTTTTGCAATAGTATATTTGTATGTATGTGCACAATAATATTGGGAAAAAAGTGGATTTGGGATTTGGAAATAAATGACCGAATGCAGGAACCTGTCATTTTCATTTTAGAGTTGTTTGCATGACTTTGCACACAGCAGCAGGTACAATATTAGATTTGTATTGACGGTTTTCACTGTAATTCACCTCTCTGCCTGTAGGGGCGCTGTTGACTGCTGAGCATGTGAAGGGCAGCATCAATCTCTCTGTGGAGGAGGGCAAAGACACCATGCTCCATGTCTCTGAGTGAGTATAGGGCCCGTATGAGTATGCTTTATGTATTATAGTTAAAGCCTTTTAGGGACAAAAGAAAATATATTTTTCTTGTATACTTATTTATGTGCATCATTCTGTCTTATTTCCTTATTTCTCCTTCAGTAAGGTGCAGTTCAGTGACGTGAACTCCATCACGCGTTATCTTGCCCGAGTGGCTCCGGCGTTGGGACTCTATGGTTCTAACATGATGGAGCAAACTGAGGTTAGATTTAAGATTTATATACTATGTTTCACTGGCACTCTATGACAAATTCCAAATGTTTCATTGGTTAATGTTGTTGATCTTGTTCTGCCATTTGCAGGTTGATCACTGGTTGGAGTTCAGTGCCCGGCGTCTCTGTGGTCAGTCAGATCTCTCTTCTGCTCTGGGTGATCTGGATAAAGCTCTGGCACTGAGAACCTTCCTGGTGGGTCACAGTGTGACCCTGGCTGACCTCTGCGTCTGGGCTGCTCTCAAAGGTCAGTCATTTAGCTATAAGTCAAATTAGAACATTATTTATATATAAAAGATATAACATTCTCAAAAGTCGATATGGTGCTTCATCCACAGGAAATGGCGAGTCACAGGCCAAGCCAAACTCCTACCCTCATCTGTGCCGCTGGTTTTCGTTCCTGAGCTCTCAGGTGCCATTCAGCTCAGTGGGCAGCAAATGGGCCAGCAAGATCTCTGCCATCAAAGCCACTGTGAGTATATTACTATCCCAGGGAAATGTGGTATTGCAGGTTTTGCAGTTTTACGTATTCTGTTGAGGGAAAAAAAAGTTAGAAATTTAAAGTTTTATTTTTACGGTTAAAATTGAAGTCAACCTGGCTAAACATTGAACATGGAACCTTATATTAATGAACCTTATATTAACATGGACCTTATATTAATTAAGTTGTTAATTTGTCCCAAACTATGTTTTTAGCCTGTGGAGAAGGAAAAAAAGCAGGATTTGGGAAAGTTTGTGGAGCTCCCTGGTGCTGAGATGGGCAAAGTAGTGGTGCGTTTCCCCCCTGAGGCTAGTGGGTAAGTAGTGTTGTCTATACAATGAACATCAGTCACAATATACATAGTCTGTAATGTTCACCAAGGCTGAGTTTATTTGATCCAAAATAAAGTCATTTAAAGTATTTATCATTCCAACTCCTCAGATACCTGCACATCGGTCATGCCAAGGCAGCTCTACTCAATCAGCACTACCAGGTCAATTTCAAGGGCAAGCTCATCATGCGTTTTGATGACACCAATCCTGAGAAAGAGAAAGAGGACTTTGAGAAGGTATGACATTTTGCCCCCTTTCATACAGAATTATGGTCCTTGTCCTCTATAAATGGTCCATATCCTCTATTACCTCCAAAAAAACAAAAGCAAGGGGTTTCCCTACACTAATTGTGTGAGAAAACCATATTTGAACCAGCATCTCTGGAATGAGCGCCAAGTTTCAATACATGTCTACAACATGTACAATATCCAAACAATTTTTGCTATGCTAACACCTTTTTGCTACAGGTCATCTTGGAGGATGTGGCCATGCTACAGATCAAACCGGACCAGTTCACCTACACAAGTGATCACTTTCCCACCATCCTGCGCATGGGAGAGAAGCTTCTACAGGAGGGCAAGGCCTATATAGACGACACTCCTCCAGACGCCATGAAACAAGAAAGAGAGCAAAGGGTGGAGTCTCGCAACCGCAGCAACTGTGAGCATCACCAGTGCCAGTCTTAATATTTGTCGTCTCCAAAGGAAAGGTGATTTGAGCTGTTGTACTGAGCATGTGGTCTATCTACGTAGCTGTGGAGAAGAACATACAGATGTGGGAGGAGATGAAGAAGGGCACAGAGTTTGGCCAGACCTGCTGCATGAGAGCCAAGATCGACATGAATTCCAACAACGGCTGCCTGCGTGACCCCACACTGTTCCGCTGCAAGAGCGCTCCTCATCCTCGCACCGGCAATACTTACAAGTGAGTGAACATCACACATGCATCGTGTTACTGAATAGTGCCAAATGATGGCTTCCTCTAACTGATGGTCCTCTTCTTTTTCACTCCCTTCACCCAGAGTGTATCCCACATATGATTTTGCGTGCCCCATTGTGGACAGCGTTGAGGGGGTCACGCATGCCTTACGTACCACTGAGTATCACGACAGAGATGAGCAGTTCTACTGGGTAATAGATGCCCTTGGTTTGCGTAAACCGTACGTCTGGGAATATGCCAGACTCAATCTTAACAACACTTTGCTCTCCAAGAGGAAGCTCACCTGGTTTGTCGACCAGGGCTATGTGGATGGCTGGTGTGTATCACCCTCACTTTCTGGACTTTATAGAAAAGAGCTCTTTTGGATTGCATGATTAAACTTTTCTCTCCTCCTTATCTTTCCTTCCTGCAGGGATGACCCTCGTTTCCCCACAGTCAGAGGTGTGCTGCGTAGAGGAATGACTGTCGAGGGACTCAAACAATTTATTTCTGCTCAGGTATGTGTTTCTCACAATTAGAATACATTTTGGGAATGAATTCAAACGCATTAAATCACAAGGTTGTGTGTTACACTGATTTTACCATAGTAGGGGCTGTTTTTTGTAGGGATGCACCGATATGAAAATTTTGGCCGATACCGATAACCGATTATTCTTTATTTTTGAAAGCCGATAACCGATATGTTGGCCGATAAATCTATATCCAAATTGTTATATACTTTTTGAGAGCCTGATTACAAAAAAGGTCTCATCATTAAAAGCCACATCCCAAACACTTCAACATAAGCAGCCTAGTTTGAACAGTGTACGTTTTAAAAATATTTTTACTCTCCCATTACCAAATTTAGTCATAAAAAAGTCTTACAAATAAATAAAATTATGCATAAATAATGCAAACAAGTCACTGGACATCATTACACGTGTAAAGAATCAAAATGAATGCGCCATAGATCAATAAAACGGAATAGCCTCTGCACGGACAATAATTAAATGATTTTAATTACTAAACCATATTGTTGATGAAAATAATAAGAGAAAAATACAAGTGGTTGTTGTTATTAATAATATATCAATGATTTTGAAAAAGTAACAAATTAATACCACTGTTTTAAATAGCAGCCATTGAGCTGCAGCTCAAGCTGAAGCTGAAGAGCTGAATGAACACGGTAAACTGAAGCGTCTTGCTGGCAGCTTATTTAACTCAAGGAAATGCATCCTGAGATTAATATTAACACAACATAAACATAATATTACAACTTATATATGTACAAAATGACGCAGTTATTGCATGCTATAGTCAGAATGTGTGATCCTGTTGTGGATGCGCTCTTCCCATAACAACGCACTGAAACACAGCAACTAAACAAAGAATTCACAACGTTTTATTATAATAATGTTCTCATTAGAATGTTATATACACGACATTCCCAATCATAGTTATTAATGTTGTGCACGGCTGTTTGAGCTGCGTGCGCTGAGCTAAAGATGATCACCGGTAAACTGAAGCGCTCTTTTAACTTAACCAAACGCATTCTATATGAGATAAATCAGATATACATCAAATAAACACAATATTACAACGTACAATTGCACAAAAGGCTGCAAACGAACAGCGCACATCTGAAGTGTCTCTGAAGGAAATAATGCATTATTTATCGGCTTTAAGATATCGGCCAAATTTTCTTATCAGGCCGATACCAATAACAGAAAAAATGAGCCGATATGGGCCAATACCGATATGGTGGCCGATATATCGTGCATCCCTAAAAAATACAACTGTTAGTTCATGTTAGCTCAGGTCCTTTAAACAATATGAACAAATACGACGTTTGAGTTTAATAATGTATTAGTAAATGTTGAAATTAACTAAGATTAATGAAGGTTTTAGAAGTATTTTCATTCTTAGTTCATGTTTACTATGCAGTTAATTAATATTAACAAACAGAATATTATTGTAAACTGCTACCACAATACTAAAATAACACAGGTTTGTAATAACTAGCTAGTATTGCTGATAAAAGCATTCTCCGCAATCTTTCTTTCCAGTTTGTAAATCCTGCACTGCAAAAAAAAAAATGTTTTTTTTGTCTTGTTTCCAGCCAGAATATCTAAAAATTCTTAAATCAAGAAGGACAAATTATTGTCTGGTTTTCAGAAAAAACATGTCAAAATTAAGTGAGTTTTTGCCTGAAACAAGCAAAATAATCTGCCAATGGGGTAAACAAAATAATCTTGTTTTCTGTTTGAAATAAGATTATTGTGTTTGTTCTAAGCAAAAACTCACTTAATTTTGACATGTTTTTTAAAGGGATAGTTCACCCAAAAACGATTTCCAAGCAAAAAAAAAAAGTGTAGTTCTAAACCCAAACGCAAGACTTTATTTCATCTTCGAAACACAGATGAAGATATTTTTTTAAAGAAACCTGAGAGATTCCTGTCCCTCCAATTAAAGCCCATTCCACTTTTATGTTTTAAAAAGTTCATGAAGATACTGTAAAAATAATCCGCATGAATCGAGCAGTTTAATCGAGACAATTACTTTGTCATAAATAGATTTAATTAGGCTTTTATTCACAGACAATAGACATTGATCAACACGCAAACATGAAATATGGTAAGCAGAAATGCAGGCATGCTTGTTTGACATGCAAGAACCAAGTTTTTCATGCTAGTTTTTACTGTCACGCAAGTACGGTAGACCTTTCATCGACCATATTTGATGATCTATATGTATGTGCGTTGATCAGTGTTGTTCATTTGTGCATAAAAGCCTAATTTGGATCTTTTCATCATATGAGTTAATCATGTCTTTTTAGGAGACTTGGATTAGACTGCTCATTCATATGGATTTCTTTGACAATGTCTTTATGTACTCTTTGAAGCTTGAAAGTTTTGGTGAATTGGACTTTCAGTGGAGGTACAGAAAACAAAAGGGTTTGGAATGATTTGAGGGTTAGTAAATGATGACAGAGATTTCATTTTTGGTTTAACTCCATTTAACACCATCAACCCTTGGTACTAATTTGTCTAAGAGCAGGAATGTTGTTGTTTTTTTGTAGCCAGGATCTCTAAAGCCTCTTAATTTATTCAGAGACATTTTAGCCAATGGTTTTAGTTTCTTCTAATAGAGTCAGCTTATGGTCAAAGTGGCCTGATTTAAGTGATTGTGATATCACATTGAAACACTTCGCGTTCTGTCTGTCTCTGAGCTCTGTGTCCCCTGCTCTACATTAAAGTGCATCTCACTCTTCTGTTTACAAGCTGCCAGTTAGCTGTAAAAAGGTACTCCTACTCCTTCCTTCGTCCTCTTGTTCCTCTTCCTCGAGTTTCCTCTGCCCCCTGCATTGTCTGTTCCTTCTTTCCCTCTAACTTTCCATTCCCTGGTCTTTGGCTTTCACAAAAGTCCAGATTATTCATCTGGCAGAATATTTATTCTGTTGTGGATTCTTCACTTAAAAAATGAAAAATCTCTCATCATTTAGTCATTCTAAACCTTATGATTTTCTTTATTCTGTGGAACACAAATAATATTGCTGTTTCCTGGCAGCCATCTTGACATAAAACAAAAGTTTGACCTTACAGAAAAAAAAGCACACTCAATAGTGTGGTAGGTCTGTCTACACTGAGAATCATCATTCGTTAAATAAAGACCAGGTTACACTAATTTTGCATACAGTAGACAGTGAAATGACATTTATGGATATAGCACAGAATAGCTTGAAATCAAGGATTTCAAGTTTGTCGCTCATGCATGTCCAGTTGGACAGCCTGGTCTGTAATCAACATGCACCTTGAAATCATTTATAGCACAAATATTTTGCTCCCCCCCCCCCCTTCTGACTTCTTCCCATATGCAGCTTGTGTCTGTGTTTGTGCTATCACCCATTTCCTCCCCTCATACAGCTTCTGGCAGATTCTCTAGAAAGTGAACATACATTAATACAGAACAATTCATGTTGTTCAGTCAAACATATTTAGCTTTAGCGCTCCCCAGTGACATGTTTCAAACCTTTTGCTCTTGATTTCTCTCTGAAAACCTGGTAATGGTGGTCAACTTCCTCATGTCCCCAGTCAGAAAACATAAATACTTCCACTGTTGATGTTGGAAACCTACTGAAATAAAGGCTGCAAGCAGTTATGGGCAGTCAATATGCACCTCTGTGGCTGTTACAGTCTGTTTGGCTTCCCCTGCTATTCATTTCACTCTTTTCTACCTGTCCTCACTCATCCGGTTTCATCTGTCGATCCATACTGCGCAGTGTGAGAGCAAAGAAGCTTTAGTTTAGTTTTTTGTTGTAAACTATTATCTAAAGCAGTGGTTCTCAAACCTCTCCATGAAGTACCCCCAGCACTGCACATTTTGTATGTCTCCCTATATCTGACGCACCCACTTCAGGTCTTGCAGTCTCCACTAATGAGCTGATGAGTTAAATCAGGTGTGATAGATGAGGGAGACATACAAAATGTGCCAGGCTGGGGGTACTCCAGGACAGGTTTGAGAACCACTGATCTAAAGAAATAGTTGTACCCCTCACTTTCACTCCCTGTATAGGTCATTGACCCAATAGCCCCAAGATACACTGCCCTACTAAGCTCGCAGTTTGTTCCAGTCTGCATTTCTGAGGCCAAGGAGGAGATGAAAGAGGTTGCCAAACATCCCAAGGTAATAAAACCGGCAAGCACACGCACCTAAAGGACTTGTCAGTGCCATAAAAAAATATTTTAGCAGCTGTCACAGTCATTGAGAGACATGTTAAGTGAAGTGACATCCTATCTTGTGGGGATTTGCAGAATGCAGATGTGGGAATGAAGCAGGTGTGGTACGGGCCAAAGGTCCTTATTGAGGGAGCTGATGCAGAAACTTTCACAGAGGGTGAGACCGTCACCTTCATCAACTGGGGAAACATCATAATCACCAAAATCCACAGGTAAAACTCTCAGAACAAAATTGTTAAAATCAGGCTAGCACTGCCTTAAAGGTGCAACACCACTTAAGGTTTTATTCCTCAAGAAATTAGTAGTGATTTAACAAATATTTAAAATTATTAATGTAAACGAAACACAATTTTCATTGCAGCTCCCCCCAAAAATAAACATGCCCCCTCACTTTTTGTGCTTTGTCACAACCCTATTTTAAAATGTAATTTATTTCTGTGATGGCAAAGCTAAATTTTCAGCAGCCATTAAGAGACAGTTAAAGGGATAGTTCACCCAAAAATGAAAATTACCCCATGATTTACTCACCCTCGAGCCATCCTACTATTGCGGTTTCTGTAACTTCGTTACTTTTACGGTGTGAGGTAATTGGCCTCACGCCCAACCCCCATCCAAGAGGCGTCCTTATGTCCCACGTGGGACGAAGAGGATTAAGTTAAAGGGTTAGTTCACCCAAAAATTAGGCTGTCTTTTACTCACCCCAGAGCCATCCTAGGTGTATATGACTTTCTTCTATGGGTGCAATTTTTTGGACTTCAAATTTTGGGGTACCATCCACTCCCATTATAAAGCATGGATTAGCCTGGACATTATTTAATATAATTCCGATTGTATTAATTTGAAAGAAGAATGTCATATACACCTAGGATGGCTTGAGGGTGAGTAAAAAATTTAATTTTCAAGTAAAAAACGGCATTTACTTGAAAAAGAAATCATTTGTAACATTACAAATGTGTATTCTGCCCTCACAGAACATGATTGTGCTCCATTAGATGAATAGTGAACATTTTGGAAAAAAAAATGTTTTGTTGGTTATTATTCTTTATTGTAAAACTGAAAAAAATAAACATGTTCATTTCAATATTAAATAAAGTCAGTTAATCACTTGGTATATTCAAACAATCATAAACTTAGTTATAATCAAATAAATGTGTAGATTACTTAGTAAAACTTTTTCCAAGGCTAAACTGCATTTATTAGCTACGCTGAGAGCTGTGCTCTCTCTCTCTCTCTCTCTCTCTCTCTCTCTCTCAGGCTAGCACTGCCTTAAAGGTGCAACACCACTTAAGGTTTTATTCCTCAAGAAATTAGTAGTGATTTAACAAATATTTAAAATTATTAATGTAAACGAAACACAATTTTCATTGCAGCTCCCCCCAAAAATAAACATGCCCCCTCACTTTTTGTGCTTTGTCACAACCCTATTTTAAAATGTAATTTATTTCTGTGATGGCAAAGCTAAATTTTCAGCAGCCATTAAGAGACAGTTAAAGGGATAGTTCACCCAAAAATGAAAATTACCCCATGATTTACTCACCCTCGAGCCATCCTACTATTGCGGTTTCTGTAACTTCGTTACTTTTACGGTGTGAGGTAATTGGCCTCACGCCCAACCCCTATCCAAGAGGCGTCCTTATGTCCCACGTGGGACGAAGAGGATTAAGTTAAAGGGTTAGTTCACCCAAAAATTAGGCTGTCTTTTACTCACCCCAGAGCCATCCTAGGTGTATATGACTTTCTTCTATGGGTGCAATTTTTTGGACTTCAAATTTTGGGGTACCATCCACTCCCATTATAAAGCATGGATTAGCCTGGACATTATTTAATATAATTCCGATTGTATTAATTTGAAAGAAGAATGTCATATACACCTAGGATGGCTTGAGGGTGAGTAAAAAATTAAATTTTCAAGTAAAAAACGGCATTTACTTGAAAAAGAAATCATTTGTAACATTACAAATGTGTATTCTGCCCTCACAGAACATGATTGTGCTCCATTAGATGAATAGTGAACATTTTGGAAAAAAAAATGTTTTGTTGGTTATTATTCTTTATTGTAAAACTGAAAAAAATAAACATGTTCATTTCAATATTAAATAAAGTCAGTTAATCACTTGGTATATTCAAACAATCATAAACTTAGTTATAATCAAATAAATGTGTAGATTACTTAGTAAAACTTTTTCCAAGGCTAAACTGCATTTATTAGCTACGCTGAGAGCTGTGCTCTCTCTCTCTCTCTCTCTCTCTCTCTCTCTCTCTCTCTCTCTCTCTCTTTCTCTCTGAACATGTCAAATCATGTGCGCATTAGATAAAATTATTTACAATGTATAAAATAATACTAAAATACACAAAAAAAAATATATATATATTTTTTTTAAAGGGGTCATATGATGCGATTTCAAGTTTTCCTTTCTCTTTGGAGTGTTACAAGCTCTTGGTGCATAAAGAAGATCTGTAAAGTTGCAAAAACTAAAGTCTCAAATCCAAAGAGATATTCTTTATAAAAGTTAAGAGTCAGCCACACCTACCTAAAACGGCTCGTTCTAACACGCCCCCACATGTCTACATCACTATGTGGGAAGATTTGCATAACGCCGCCCAAATGTTCACGCAAAGAAAGAAGGCGTAACTTTTATTCTCGCTG